GCAGGAATTGGAGATTTCCTCAGCTGAGATTCCTTATCACATTTTTGGTATTACTTTCAGATACCTTGTTCACAAGTGAGAACTCTGTGACTAGATATTTGTCAGTGACATGTATTAAACTGCGAGAATTTTGGATAGGAACCAGTACAATAATATTCTAATAGTTGCTGCACTCTTAATTTGTAGTGGATGAACTGTGAGCTAGTTCTACCATTTCTTTTTTTTTTTTTGTATATCTTGTTGCTTCTGGACAAACTAGGAAAAACCCTCTTGTCGAACAGGCTGGGAGTGTCAGCAAGTGAACTGCAGTTATTTCACTGCCCTCCACAAAAGCTGCTGATCTTAGCTTATAAATGCTGACTGACTTCTGTGACTGAAAGAAGGTTGAAAGTAGCCTCCCACCTTCACTTCCTTGTAAATGCCAATGAAATGCAGAAGAAATAGATGATCCATCCACCCTGTTCTTTTGTATTAAGCAACTGGACAGAGATCCAGATTTTTTTTTTGTTGGGGCAAGAGGGTGGAAAAATTAAGGCTCATCAAAATACCTCTTTCAAGACAAAGCAAAAATCTTAGCCCTGCAGCAGACATCAGTGTGAAAAATCAAAATGCTGCTCATGCTAGATCTTTCTACCAGTGGGTCAGATGCAAAGTTAAAATAAACTTTCTATATAAACAAAACAAAGTTCCTCAGCTAAATTAAGTCCCAGCATTTCTTTGTTTTGTTTCAGAAAAATAAATGAATTTTTTTCTTTCTGGTCAGCAGGAAATCCAGCCAGATGGAGTCTGAGAGTTCAGTTTTGATTTTTCTACAAGTTCCATATGCCTTTCCACCTTTTTGAAGTGTTTTATTTTACTTTTAGAAGTAATAACCGCTTGTCTTCATATCAGTCTGTAAAGCACCTAGATATAAAGCACCACTGAACTTGGTGATCAGTGATGCAGCATTAGCTTCTAGTGAGGCTGCTCAATTTTTTAATATAATTCAAAACATCTATGTATTTTTCTCTGCATGAACTCATTGATGACAAATTTTGAAGCAACATCTGGGAACATCCACTCTGACACTGAAAGCACTGAGTGCCACATGATAGGAAAGTCGAGTGGAGGCGATAAAGCCTGTCAAACACCAAATTGGGATGATAGATGATGCCACAGTTGCCATTATGGAGGATAATGCTATGACAGGAACTGTTCGTGGGAGAACAGTGGCAGAGGGAAATGGAATCACCAGAAACATACATAACTTCAAATTTCTGTGTGGCGTAGTGTTGTGGCATGACATACTGTTTGAAATAAATGTTGTAACCAAGAGACTCCAAGGTGTTGACCTTGATATATCTGGAGCAATGGAACAACTCAACAAAGCAAAGTCGTACCTACAGTCTTACCGGTCAGATGGGGGACTTCAAAACGTTCTGAAGAGTGCACAGAAGTTGGCAAAGGAACTTGACACTGAAGCTATTTTCCCACCCATTCAAGAATACAAGAGTCACCGAAGAAGAAGATATTTTGATTATGAGGCACGGGATAATCCCATAAGAGACTCCAAACAACAATTCAAAGTTGAATTCTTTAACCAGGTGCTAGATTGTGCAATACAGTCAGTTTAATGCAGCTCAAGGAACACAGCAGTATATTGGGGATGTTGTATGATATTCCAAAACTCCTCACTATACCTGAAGAAGACCTACACCAGCAATGCAGGGCACTAGAGACAGTGTTGACACATGATGACATGCACGATATTGATGCGAGTGATTTTAGGTGATGAACTGAAAGCCCTTTCAAGATACATTTCAGCAGGATCAACTCCAAAGGCTGCTCTGGAATATATGTGCACAAATTAGATGACCACTCTTTTTCCAAATGCTTTTGTTGCTCTGTGCATACTTCTAACACTTCCTGTAACAGTTGCCAGTGGAGAATGCAGCTTCTCCAAGCTGAAGTTAATAAAAACACATCTACGCTCCACAATGACACAGGAGAGGCTGGTCAGCCTTGCATCCATCTCAATAGAGCATGAGCTGGCCCAGACTGTGGACCTTCAGGAAGCAGTTCAAATCTTTGCAACCAAGAAGGCATGGAAAGCACCACTTTGATTATTCAGACAGATAAAAATGCCAGTGTTTACCATGCAGACGAGAAAAGTTACATTTGCTGTTCAGGCGTTTGAAAGTTAAGTGTTACTTAAAATTTTTGAACAAGGCATTTTAAGTTGTTCTCCTTTACTGGGGTAGGTAACAGAGCAGTACCATGAGAGCAGTAGAACAGGAAGAAGGCAGAACTGAGACCTTTCAAAGTTTTGGCCCGGGCATGGGGGCATCATTTAAGCTCCCCCTCTCAGGTGCCAAAATGTTGTGGGCCGGCCCTGGTGTTCCCCCCCCCCTTTCTTCCATACCCGGTGGCTTTTTTCCCCTGCTGAGAAGTCTGGCATTATGCCCATGCTCCTTTTCTGTCAGCCGTGAACATCAACATTGTCTCTGCGGCCTGGCTGAAGCTCGCATCTCTGCCAAGTGCGGCATTTTGCTCTCTTCCCTCCCAGAACTTGAGAGTTGGGAACGGAGACTTAGAAGATATCTGATGGAGAAGGCAATCAGACCCCAATCATATCTGGGTTGGGGACCCCCCTGTCCCTCCATACATCAGTTTCAGCAAGCAAGCAGTCCCTTTCCGAGTACTAGTTTGGGAATGGAGGCTAAGACTGGTAAGCCTAAGCAAAAGGCTTTACAGAAGAGTAGGGGCACTCTCATAAGCATATGGACAAATCATCTTTGTCTACAACTTCCCCGAAGAGAGAGGATTCCTCACCAACCGCATCAAAGTTGGGAGAGCCTGCGCACATGGGCACTAGGGACTTACATTTGAGTAAATCTTCTTGGCAGGAGGAGGCAGCGTATGGATCTGATGGTTCTGATGTAAGCTTTGATGGTGAAGTCTCAGGATAAACAGCTCCTGGTGTGCCCATCCACTTCTAGAGCTGATGCAGTACTGATATCAATAGGGTCCCAGAAGGTGCCAACTTCTATGGTGGCCAAGTAAGATCCATTTCTGACAGCCCCGTCAATGGCCTTGTACCATACAGCGGTCTAAAAACAATGTCTCCCTGAAGGACATCTTTGCCCTTCCCTATCTGCATTCATCCCTCCTATGGGGATCATCTCTGTTCCATTGTTACACTAAAGAAGAGACTGTTCCAAAGGTGCAGCGTTGCTCTCCCGTCTCACCTGCCAACTTCGACGTGCAGCCATCGGCACTGTCTGTTCTGATGGTAGTATAGGATCCAACTTTCTTTTTGGATGAGGCAGAGGCCCCACAGAAGTCTTTGCAGTACCAGGTGGAGGTGACATGGGACAAGCCCTAGAAGATTAGTCTTTTGGCCTCCAACCAAACATGACTGGCCAAGAAACAGATGGTACCCCGTGCCACGTGGTCCTCCTCTGCCAGTTGATCCATCTTATTGCCTATATTGGGGGTGAGGGAGTCCAACCCTAGACACCCAGAATCAGTGCATGAGCCATATTTGCCATCGCCTGGCCATCCACAACTGGCCCTGTTGGAGTATTTGGAGGAGGGTGAGCAGATCCAAAAGTTCTGACGGTCTCAGGAGAAATTTCTTTGTCATCACCAGATGAAGCAGTTACTACTTCTTCTCCGGCTCTGCTAGATGATTTAAAACAATATAAAGAACTCATGCGCAGGGTGGTGACAGAACTACAGATTCAGCTTGAGGAAGACCAGGAGGCTAAGCACAGATTACTGGACATTCTGCAGCTTTCTGGGCCTAGTTAAGTAGTCGTCCCCATCAAGGCCATCTGGTCCCAACAAAGACAGTTTTGCACACTCCTGCTTCTTGTGTTCCCAGTTCTAAGAGAGCAGGGAAGTGTTACTTTGTTCCATCCAAAAGAGGTGAGTGTTTGTTCTATTACTCACCACCTCACTTCTTGGTGGTGCAGGTGGCTGCAGAGCAATCTAAGCGACAACACCCAAAGTCTGCTCCCTCTGATAAGGTACTCAAGTGGTTTGACCTCCTGTGGAGAAAGGTCTTCTCTTCCACCTCATCTCCAGTTCAGGATTTTTAACTATCAGGCCTTTTCGGCCAAATTTGATTTGGCCACTTATGCTAAATTTATGGATTTTAAGGACATTTTCCCTGAGGAGGCTAGAACCGGCACTAAGGTGGATGAGGGCAGATTGGTGGCCAAAACTTTCTCCAGGCTGTGGTGGACACAGCAGATACTGCATTTAGTGGGATGCAACAACTATTTTTATGAGGAGAGACTCATGGCTGCAACCCTCAGGTTTCCCTAGAGAGGTGTAGAATACCATCCAAGATCAGTCCTTTGATCCAGTCAGGCTATTCCGCAAGAAGACAGATGAGTGTCTCCAATCCCTTGAGGACTTGGACAATGCTTCGCTCACTGGGCAACTATACCCCTGCCCTGAAGAAAAAACACCATAGACAAGGGTGTAGGACAAGACTGCCTCCTCAGCCTTTATATCACCAATATCCCCAGGAGCCACCATGTAAGAATAGAGGATTTATAAACCCAGGAACCCAGCCTCTGCAACATCCACCACCAATTCGTACTCTGAACCTCCAGAGTTTCTTTGGATGGGACTTTAGAGACATGCGTCCCTTTTATTGATGCTTCTTCATTCCCCTCCTCAGATATTTGAAGGACACCTTGCCCAATTTGCCAAAAACTGGAGGGCCCTAACTCAGACAAATGGTACAAGGTGCCTGGACCCTGTGCGAGTCCAGAATACATATGTTTACTAGTGGTCTGTTGTGCCTGCAGTGCCTTCCTCCCACTCATCCAATCCAGACATGTCCAAATAATGTTGGACAACATGGCAAAAAGTATAATATATAATTAAGCAGGGGACAACTTCTCTCCCTCTATGCATAGAGGAAGTCACTCTCTGGACTTAGGGTTATGTGATGGCCGGTGCACCATCAGCAGCATAGATACCAGGGGTGTAAAACTCCCTAGCGGACAGCCTGAATAAACTTTTTCCCTCAAATCACAAGTGGAGGATTCACAATTTGGTTCTTGACAATATCTTTGCCCAATGGGGAATGCCGAGCTGGAAAATTTTCATCTTGTGGGTGAACAGGAAATTTCCTTTGTACTCTAAGGGTCAATGGTAGATGCCCTCCTGATGTCATGGAAGGATCACCTGGCATATGCCTTCCCTCCTAATCTATTGGTACCACAAGTTCTATGGAAGATCCACGAAGACTGAGCTTGGGTCATCCTGATTGTGTTCAACTGGCCCAGATACTTCTGGTTTTGCAGATCTACTTAAGCTCTCGCTTTGACCACCCATGAACATCACCCCATTTCTGGTCCTTCTAACACAGCACAGGGGCAGATTCAGGCACCCCGTCCAGGACTGCTGCAACTCGGAGCCTGTTATTTGGGTAGGCATTGGAAATCGAGTGCTCATGTTCCAGAGGGATGCATTCCAAACCAAAGCAGAAAGAATTCTATGAGGAGCTGTTACTCAGCAAAATGAAAACATTTCTCCCCTTGGGCTCATCATTGCCACTTGTCTCCAGAATCTGCTAGGATCCCTGCTATTTTAGAGTATGTACTTAATCTGAAGTCCTTCGGGTCTCACGCTCAGTTCTTTGCTGGTGCATTTAGCAACAATCAGTGCTTTCCATCCTCCGATGGATCACTGTATGTTCTTCACTCACCTGTTGCAACTAGATTTCTGAAGGCGCTTCTCAAATTGTTTCCTCCATTGGTGAAGTTTGCATGTCAGTGGGACCTCAGTTTTGTTTGGTCGTCTCTCTCTAAATTTCCCTTTGAGCTTCTAACCACATGTTCTATGGTCCATCTGTCTGTGCAGGTGGCCTTTCTAACAGAAGAGTCAGTGAGCTGGGGGTGCTCATGGTTTACCTGCTATATATTACTTTCTATAAGAAAAGGTCTCATTATGCTCTCACCCCAGATTAATCCCTAAAGTAGTTTCTGAGATTCATGAGAGTCAGGTAATCTTTTTTTTCTTACCAGTATTTTTTTTTTCTAAACTGCATGCCTTGGAGGTAGAGAGAAGGATGTGTTCTCTGGATATCCAAAGGTCTTTGGCCTTTTATCTACAAAGGACATTAGAAAAATACCTAAACTACTTGTTTCCATAGCAACCCAATTAAGGAGTCAAGCTGTATTGGTGCAGAGACTTCCTAAATGGATCTCAGTTGTATTACCCTTTACCAAGTAGCTCGCATCTCCCCCCACCAGAGGGCAAGCTGCTTCATCGTCATCTCTAAGAGACATATCTCTATTAGATAAGTTGTGCAGCTGCTTGAAGTTCTTTGCATACCTTCATGAGACATTGCACTCTGGTCCAGTCATCCACCATGGCTACAGCTGTGGAGACAGCAGTACTACAGTTAGCTATCACTTCAATATCCTCACACCCAACTCCTGTTTGCAGAGATGTCCTCTGCTTGCCAACTTTGGTGGGGGAGGTCGGCTTTAGCAGTGTTACTGAGCATGCTCAGCCCATGTAAGCCGAGTAGCAAATTCCGGGGGGGGGGACGACACATGTGACCCTGCATGGCCCCCCCACGTCGGCTCTGCCTGTTTGACTACTGCTTGTTAATCTCTCGTGTGAAATACACATAGGGACCATGACTGGAAAAAGAAGAAATGGAGGTTACTTGCCTGGAGGTTCTTCGAGATGTGTGGTCCTATCTGTATTCCTCTACCCACCCTTCATCCCCTCTGCTGCAGATTGTTTGGGCTGTGGTAATAATGGTAAATTGTAGAGGCGTTGACCCGCACCACCCTTTATGCCCTCGGTTTGGAGTACAAGGAGAGCTACAGTGCATGTGTGGGCCAATGGACACTGCTTGTAAAAATCAAAAAGAAAAACAAGCACACCACTCCACTCAGGACTCAGGCATGTGATGCACATATGTACCCACCGGTGGAAAACAGATAGGGACTTTACATCTTGAAGACCCTCCATTACTACTACTGTTTTGTGATGGCATCTTATTTTTCATTCAGCCAAGATCCTGTAAATGTAAGGAGTAAACAGAGCATATACTGAAAATATTAAATAATTTTTAAATTGAAAAAATGTCAAGTGCTATTAACACAAGTAAGGATTTGTTTAAAATGCTGTACATTTTTTTCCTTCAGTGTTTCTTTAACTGTATCTTGGTTTCCACACAAGCAAAACCAAACTGTGAATTGTGCAGAGCTGTTGTATCAAACTTACCTTAACAGAACGGAATATTAATAAGAACATTTTCCAGGTCATGGGAGTCAATACTGTTGTCATTTAATCTGCCCAGAAAAGATTATGGAAACATCACAGTGACTAGGAGATTCCTCTTTTCCCCCTGCCTCTTCCTCCTCAAATATTCTGAATGCTTTTAAGCATCAGGCCTTCTGACTTGCATCACAATTTCCAAACAGCTGAATCCACTTGCAAGTGAAACTGACAGTGCTGTATCATAATTCCAGGAAGGACAAAGACTGTTTTAAATGTTTCACAACACACCCACAGACAGCCTAGAGATTGCATAATTTAGTACGTGCTGTTGCTGTAGTAACCTCATTGGTTGCTACCAGAACAAGGCATAGGCATGACAGTTCTCAATAGATTTACCATGTTGGAAATGGAGGGTGTTTTCAGTTACACCTCTGGGTCCTTTAAAGAAATTGTGTAACTTCTGTAGATGCTGTGTCATTTCTCTTTACTATACAGTATGTTGGTACTTCTCTGTATGCATCTCCCCAGAGACAGACAGGCACGCACACACCTCCCTCACCCCCATATTTAGTTTGAACTCCCAAGTCTGTACAAAGTTAGTTACAGGATTTAAACACTTATGTTTTCAGAAATGTACACAATAAAATTCTTTTAATCAGCATGTGCATTGGTCTATCCTTACCCTATAATTGGCAGGTTTAAAGCAGAAATTGTTAAAGATATTGTGCCAGACGCTCATCTGGAGAAAATGGAAATCAGTTGAGGATCTGGACCATTGTTTCCTCATTGTGTATGAAGATATTATAATGTTGTACAGGTTTTTTTGGAGGGGTGGTGTTGCCTGACTAGTTTGCAAAATAGCTGCTGTTCTCACAATATTTCAACTTTAAAGGAAGAGGAGGTGAGCTAAAGTGGACTAGCATAAGTCTGTACACTATCTTAGGCCACTGTAAATGTTAAAACTAGGGTATTTTTACATGAGTGCATCAGCAGCTAATTGGTGTACTTCCCCATCCCCCCGCCCTCCAATATTATTTTTTTGTTCTGTTTCTGTATAAACTCTCTGAACCTGGTTAATCATAGTGCTGATTAACTGACTTCTTCATATATTAAAAGAGGGGGGAGTAAAGCTTCACTTAAGATCAAGCATCTGAGAATGGGTTTGGGTTTACATAAGGGTAACAAAGGAGGAAATGATTGTGATAGTAGAGCAATGAGTGACTGTTCATCTCCTTAGCAAATGAAAATATTCTTTGCTGTGTTGTGCTTCAACCATTTGGCTGTGCTTGGGATTCTCATATTATTGGGCCCTACCAAATCACGGTCCATTTTGGTCAATTTCGTGGTCATAGGATTTTGAAAAGAATATATTTCATTATTTCAGATATTTAAATCTGAAATTTCACAATGTTGTAGCTGTAGGGGTCCAGATACAAAAGGTGGTTGTGGGGGACAGTGCAAAGTTATTGTAGGGGGGTGATCGTGGTATTGCCGTCCTTGCTTCTGCGCTGCCTTCAGAGCTGGATGGCTGGAGAGCAGCAGCTGCTGGCCGGGCACCGAGCTCTTAAGGTAGCGCCGCTGCCAGCAGCAGTGCAGAAGTAAGGATGGCATGGTATCGTATTTTCACCCATACTTCTGTACTGCACTGCTACTCTCCAGCCACCCAGCTCTGAAGGCAGCGCAGAAGTAAGGGTGGCAATACCACAACCCCCCTACAATATCCTGGCGACCCCCTGTTTGAGAAATCGTGGTCTCCTCCATGAAATCTGTATAGCATAGGGTAAAAGTCACAAAAGACCAGATTTCACGGAGGAGACCAGATTTCATGGTCTGTGATGCGTTTTTCACAGCTGTGAATTTGGTAGGGCCCTACTCATATAGTATCTAGGCTGTTGTGATATTACTCTTCTCTGTTAAGTTGTATCCCAATCATATTAATTAATTTATAATGCAATCTTATAGATTCTGTGTGCTCCTGAGAGATGCATGTGTTCCAAATGGGCATTTCAAATGTGTATTAGCATAATTTTCTTCTGTACTAACACTAAGCAAATCTTCAAAACTGTAGATGCAGTCAGTATTCCAATATCTGGTTACCATTAGCTCAGATCATTACTATGTAATTTATTATTCTGCACCAAACGGTGAGAATCAACCCAGACATTCACAAATGCTCCTCTAAGGGCTACATATCCATGGCTTGTAACTCATTGTCTGGGCAAGATGTGTTGGGATGTTTTAGTGAATGATTCTGGGAAACAACATAAATGCAAATTCATTGGGTATTTACTTTCTCTCCCACAAAAGAGGTGTTGGGATGAGGTAACTGGATGACTAAACCCTATCAATTCTTTTACTTCATCAGATGTGTTGAGATGAGTTTTATTAATACGGATGTGAATTAGTTTCTCACTTGATGTACTTGCTAACAGTGTTCTACTCCTCAGTCTGCACTATCTTGCCTTTAAATTGTCTGAAAACTGAGGTAATTTAGTGAAGCAGTACTATTATAACACAGCTTGGGGAATCTTTCCTTACATTACGCATTTGCATAGCTTTGTTTAAGTTTAGGGTCTAAGCTGCTAGGTTATTTCTGATTTGTTTAGCACTGAACAGAATTCTTTTTTTAATGGTTGCTCATTCCCAGATAATTTGTCTTGTTGACTCACCTCTGCAATAGTCTGGCCTACAGCTAGGAAACCTAACCATAATGTGTACATTTTTAAAATGAAACCGTTTTTTCAAAAAGTATGAATTACAAAAAGCTTATTTTTTCATACACTGACTCATGTATGGCTTTTGATGTTCACGTGTTAACATGAACCAACCTTTGAAATAAAGATAATTGTGCTGCAAACACATGGAGGTTTCTCTCTCTCTGGATAATCATAAAATACATAATAAAGAACTAATGGTAGCAATATTGCACTCGTTCTTTAAAACAGAATATTATATTAAGGGACTGATTGTTAAAGGTTCTCAGGTTTCTAGGTTTCCACGGCCTTCAGTGTAAATAAGGGCCTGATGCATGACTCCCATTAATTTCAGTTGGCTTTGAAACAAAGCCCCAAGTTTGAAGGAACTACCAGGGGAAAGGTCATAAGGTGACCCAGCTGAATTCCCCTATATTTTGCCATGTTGGTAGTTCTGGATGCTTAAAGTGTTGGGGTACTTTGTTTTGCTGTATTTTCAATTCCGGTGGAGAGACTATTGGGTAGGGATTGGGCTAAATAAGTGGAGGAAGAAAGGAAGGCATTTCAAATGGTGGGATGCAGATTAGTGCAGCAGAATATTTGGGAAGAAGAGAAATAGTTATATAATCAAAACGATTGCAGAAATGGAACAAAGACAACACAGACTGAACTTAAACTGCGTCACTTTGCTGGTTGTTGCATCTGTTTCTCTCATTCATCATTCTTTTCTTTTGAAGCTCTTGAGGGCACGGAACCTGTCTCATTCTCTGTGTGAATCTCTTTAATATGGTAATGAATGAATGGATCTTTGTTTTTTATATCATCTGAAAGATGGTATTTCCTTAAGTACAGTGTGCTTTGTCATTGTGCAAGAGTGTTGGTTCAGTGCTAACCGACAGGGAAGAGAGCCACCTGTTGAATCACCAATATCATTTCCTTCCTTCAGTTCCTGGGATTTACTTGGACTTTCCCTCCAAACCCTAATCCGGCTTGTTACTTTATAAAATATGGCAACATAGCAAGGTTTAGTGTAGCTGCATGTTTATTACTACAGACATTTCCTGTTGGATTCTCTCTTTTGTGTTCAGTCTTTTCAGCATCAGCACTTTTCTCTGTAGTTGTCTCCTTTGTTATCTTGGTTAGCGTTCTCCTGCCTTGATGGAATGTTGTTATTCAGTTCACAGTTCTTGATCTGCAGCTGCTTCTACATCTGTGTTTGTGAGGTGCATTTGTGGTGATGCATCAGCCACATGCATCTCGTAAACACGAGAGAGAGAGAAAGGAACATAATCTGTGTTCCCCATTTCCCACAAACATGGGCAAGAATGTTTCTTCCATGACCAAACCTTATGTGAAGGTTATGCTGGTAGGGGGAGCATGTCTTTCCTCTGCCCCGCTGACCTTGGTTGGACCTGGCAGATGGATATCTAGAGATTGTGTTTTAAAGTTAAACATGGAGGGGTGGGTAACCTGCTTTGTTATGTTTGTTTTGTGTGTAGTGGTTTTTGCACATTGTCATTCTATCCCTAGATCCAAATCTTGAAATTTAGAGAGTGCGGTTTTCTCGATGCAAACTTAAAAAAAAAAATTGATAAGGTGGCAATCACAATCTTCCTTTGTCTGTTGAGAATGTTGTAGCATTGGCCAGTCAGAAGGCTAGTGACTTATATTTTCATGCTGAGTGTTGGTCAGCTAGCACACACAAGGCAGTCAGCTGGCCATCTAAGGATCTGCCACAGCTTTGAGGAGCTGTTTGAGCTTTGTTTTACTAGTGAGGAACCATCAGAGATTTCCTTTGCTCCCTTGGCATTATATGCAAATAATGTGGCTTAAAGGTAGGGCAGATCATCAGCTAAGTAGTATGTTAGAGCATGCATTGAAGAACATGCTTATATTTGTAAATTTCTTTGAATACAAACATATTATCTCTAATGGGATGTATGAATGATGTATTTTTATTTAATACCTCTCACATCCATAAAATTATTCTCCTGATGTATAGTGTATTCATTTTAAAGGTTCTGAAACTTGGACTCTTTTTCAGTTGAAATCTATGGAAATAAGTGCATTTCAGGAAAGGATTATTTAAACTAACTGGTGATACCCTGGCTTGAAAGTGAAAAATCTGTCTTTAGTTGCTTTGGAAAATAATGAGATTTGAGTCTGTATTTTCACTAGATACACACGCTTAGTTTGTTGTCTCAAGTGTGTGTGTGTGTGTGTGAGGACTGCAAGATTTAAAGACATCAGCCATTCTGACCTCCTTTTAAAATTAGGTAGGGTATGGTTGATACTGCAGGGATTCATTTTTTATTTGATCTTGTGACAGAGCAGAAAATGAATTTCTTCAGAGAAACAGAATTGCTCAGGCTAAATGTAATGAATAAAACTGATAAATTAGTATTTGACATTTTGAGAGACTGGCCCCTCTCAGGATGTGTGTGTATAACAGTGATCATCTACTTTTGGTCAGTAAAGTGAACAGAATGGTAACATTTTTTTATTACATGAGTTTACTACTGCAATGGAATGGTTTAGCAAATTGAATGGGATTAATAGATTGTCTATGGGACTTACTTGGGTAAAGTCCAGAGGAATTGATTTGTCTTGTTTTCCAGGAAACAACACTTGTATAATCTCATGTCTATTGTATTTTGAAACTGTGTGTATTAAACACACAATGCTGTATGAACTAGGCAGTCATGGGAGACTTGGAATAAGTTCCTGTATCCGTGGCTGCTACATTTTAATGCTAACATTTTGTGAAGGTTTAAAAGGGCTGAACTTGGTATCTTGTTGGCTCCAATGCTGTAAACAGCTACACACAAGTAACCTCTAAAGTTACTCACATGCAAATGTCTGCAGCATTGGGACTTAAGTAAATAAAATGCGCTCTCTCTCTCTCTCTTGTGCTCCCTCTCTCTTCATCATTGCCCCAGGTTTGGTTTGTGTCCAGTTTTCTGTCCTAAGTGAAACTAATTGTAAGTGACTTGTGAAGTGAAAACATGAAAGGAAGTAAAGATACCAACCAGTAGGAATTACATAGTTAAAATATTTCTTTAGAAAGCTAATCAGGTCAATTAGAAATCTGCTGATGAGACTATCTTTTGTAGAGCATTAACGTGTTTATTAATGTGGTGATGTTTTTATATAATGGTGAATTGTGTGTCTTTGATTCTGAATCTCTCTGTGTTCGTGCAGCATCCACATGATACTGGTCTGTATGCTTAGGAACTACTTTTCTTAAAACTTTGTAACTGTTGTGCATAGAACATCAGACTATATGTTAATCTAATATAATTACGCAGTTGAGGTTTCAGGGTGGTAGCTGTGTTAGTCTGTATCAGCAGAAAGAATGAGGAGTATTTGTGGCACCTTAGAGATAGATACAGATGCATGCAGTGTTGAATTGGGCTTTAGCCCACGAAAGCTTATGCTCAAATAAATTTGTTAGTCTCTAAGGTGCCACATGTACTCCTCGTTCTTCTACAGTTCAGGTTTGTGTTCTGATCCTCAGTTGGCAACATATTAACAACCTTCAAAAGGCTTCTTTACATATGGCCTTTGGTCTACAACTGTTATTAAAGTGTGTGTATTATACAGCTATATTTTATATTTAAAGAAATAGTTCAGCCTTCAGTGTAAAGCATTGAAAGATTTAAATATTCTGCAGGATAGAGGGGGTTTATTAAATAAAGTATAGAGTGCTAATATAACATAGTTTGGTTTGTCAAGTTCTGCTCCTTTTGCACTCTTGCAAAATGAAAAAGTAGAAGTAGTGCCATCTGCTGGGCATCCGATGAAGTGAGCTGTAGCTCACGAAAGCTCATGCAATGCAAGCTGATCAGTTTAAAAAAAAATCATTTTTATATCTGGATATCTTAACACTTCCCTTACAAGATTAAAAGTTAATAATCTTTGGTGTGGGGGAGGGTGAGTGTAGATGTAATCTACTTAGCAATGTGTCACCCTAACATATAGGTTGTATCTTGGTTTTTATTCTCCTTGTCATTCTTAAGACATTTGCTTGCCATACACACACTCTGCGTGTGTGCATGTGTGTAATTTTAAAAAAAAATCTTCATTCCAGCAGTCTTGTCAATTTAACTGTTAGGTACTACTGTCTGATCATATAACCATGACTTTATAACTTTAGCTTTTAAACTTGCCTCTAGATCAGAAGGTGGACTTCAAGGTCCCAATCCTGTATGCATTTTAAACATGTGCATATTTAAGCATGTGCTACTAAGCTTCTTGGTTAAGCACTTATGCAAGTGTTCACAAGACATGGGAAGTCCATTAGTGGGGGAGAAGTCAAGCTTTCACAAAACCAAATAGACTTTGCCCCATATTTGGGTGAGAGTGGGAGTTTTAAGATTCCATGTTTTCTTTGAATTTAAACAGAACAAAGAAAAAAGCCCACAGCTGTAAGGGAGGGGGTGGCAAGACACGGCAAAACCCCAGTGTCCTGGACGCTGATACCGCTCAGTAAAAAGCAAAAATGATTGTAATCACTCATATGAGTAAGCCATTTATAATGATGCCATTTCAATGTGCAGCGGCATTGACATATTGGCTGTAGTACTATGACCCTCCCCCTCAGTTTTTAAGAATGTTTACAGCTTACAACACTCCCATTATATTTCTTAAGACAGAAATGAGAACTGCATTTCAACATGTGCCATGATAACAAGAATGACTTGCGTTAGTTGACTGCCTTACACGCAACTGCTGAATTGGAGTTCTTTTGTAAAGAGTTGTTAATGTACCTTTTCTGTAACTGAGAGGTGGTTCTTGTTTGCAAACACAAAGTCAGACCACCACGTGCCATAGTATTGCTACAAATGAGTTCTTTAAACTCAGCAAAACCTTGTTACAATTCCTCATTCCTATAGTATCTTCATATGATGCTCAATGCTGACAATTATCACCGTTTCTGGTGGTATTTTTCTTAAAGCCTTAGCTGCAGGACTCATGTTATGTCATTCAAATATCTTAGCTTTCACTTGGAAAAAAAAATAAGAGTAAGTTTCTAGGCTCTCATGGTTGCAGAGAAAAGCTTGAAAATGCAAGTGAAAAAGAATTAAAAACCTGAAGGCAAACAAAACCCCATAATGTATTGCCTTTTTAAAAAGTCATGATTTTTAAGCCAATTGATTACTTTTGGAGGGAAGGGTGGAGGGGCAGGAGGCACTAGCTCCTGATTTTTGAGCTCTAGGGATTGACTGTGCTGGTCCTGAGACTCTATTTGGAATAGCTAATGGGGTTTTTGCTCCTCTTCTTCTTCCTTTGTTATGTGTAATCACTGCTTTCCTTTTCCCTACTTCTCTGCAGCTTCATTTGAGCAACTAGTATTGCATGGTATGTATTTTAGGTGGTATTTGATGTGAAGGAGCTAGCAGGAAGGTATTGGTAGAAACAGTACAGAGATGCAATTATTGTAATGTAATTATTTCCTGACCCTCTTCCAAATTCGATTGGGTCATATGGACATACCCTAATTTACACTAGAGCAAGCCTTTATTGTATTAATATATAATGTGCATTCAAACTGAGAAGTGGAAGATAAAATACACAGGAGTGGAGGTAAGAGGAAAATGAATATATAATGCTTTGAGTTACTGTGAAGATAGAAATACCATGCTTCCATTTTTATTTTGTAAAGTGGAACTTTTAATAGAAATTTTGTGTAACTTGTGGTTGTGTCAGGAGGTTCTTTAGATCTGTAGGCATGTACATGCACCATCACTCTCTCCTTCAGTATTGATATGTACAAGAATCTTCCTTGCCAAGGATCTGGATTCTTGTACCTTTCAATGCCCAGTACTGTAAACTCACAAATATGGAGCTGCTCAGCAGAATGGAGGTAATGATGTGAGTATGTGTCTGGATTATGTGCATGCTGCATGCATACGTAATACATGAATAAATCAGGTATCCAGGGAATGTTGTTGTTACTCCTCAGTAGGGCTAAAATTTGATTCATAGACTCTGAGGCCAGAAGGGACAATTGTGATCATTTAGTCTAATTTCCTGTATAACACAGAGCATTTAATGTCTCCAAAAATAATTCCTACAGCATATATTTTTAAAAAAAAAAACAATAATAATTTTGGTTTAAAAAATGCCAGTGATGGAAACTCCACCACAACCCTTGGTAAATTGTTCCAGTGGTTAATTACCCTGACTGTTAAAAATTAAAGCCTTATTTCCAGTCTAAAATTGTCTAATTTAATCTTACAAACATTGGATCATGTTATACCTTTCGCTGCTAGACTGAAGGCCCTCTATTATCAATTTTTTGTTACCCATGTAGATACTTGTAGACTATGATCAATTCACCCCTTAACCTTCTCCTTGTTAAGCTAAATAGATTGAGCTCTTTGAGCCTGTCACTATAAGGCATGTTTTGTAATCATTTAATCATTGTTGTGGCTCTTCTCCTAACCCTCCAGCAACATCTTTGGATTATGCACACCAGAACTGGATACAGTATTCCAGCAACAGTCACAGCAGTGCCAAATACAGAGGTGAAATAACCCCTACTTCTACTCAAGATTCCCTTGTTTATACATGCAAGGATCGCATTCGCCCTTTCGGCCACAGCATTGCACTGGGAGCTCCTGTTCATCTGAGTTCCCACCACGACCCCCAAATCTTTTTCGGTCGCTGCTTCCCAGGATAGAGTCCCCCATTCTGTAAGTATGGCCAACATTCTTTGTTTCTAGTTGTATGACTTTCCATTTGGCCATATTAAAATGCTTATTGTTTGCTGGTGCCCAGCTTACCAAGGGATCCAGATCGCACTGTATCAGTGACCTATCCTCTTCATTATGTACCAGTCCCCCAATTTTTGTATCATCTGTAATCTTTGTCAGTGATGATTTTATGTTTTCCTCTAGGTCATTAATAAAAAATGTTAAATAGCTTAGGGCCAACAACTGATCCTTGCAAGGCCCCACAAAAAACACACCCGGCTTGAGGATTATGTTTACTCTTACCTTTTGAGGTCTGTCAGTTAGCCAGTTCTTAATCCATTTAATGTGTGCCATTTTAATTTTATATAATTCTGTTTTTTATCAAAATGTGTGATACCAAGTCAAACACCTTACAGAAGGCAATATCAACACTATTACTTTTATTGACCAAAGCTGTAATATAATCAAAAATAGATCTATAGGCTGGGTCTATTTTCCATACACCCATATTGACTTGCATTAATTATATTGTCCTCCTTAATTCTTTAATGATCGAGTCCCATATCAGCTGATCCCAGGAAAGGCAGTGGAACAATGTCAGATTGACAGGCCTATAATTACCTCTGTCATCCTGTTTACCCTTTTAAATATTGGCACAACATTACCTTTTTTTGTAGTCTCCTGGAATTTTGCCATGGTCCAAGACTTACTGAAAACCAACATTAACAATTCAGTGAGTTCCTCAGCCAGGTCTTTTGAAACTCTTGGGTACAAGTTATCTAGACGTGCTGATGTATAAATGTTTAATTTTAGTAGCTACCCTCTTCTTTTGGGAGATGGATTTTCAGGGACTTAGAAGTTGCTGTACTGGATAAGACGGTTAGTTCCTTTTGACTTGTGTCATGCATGTGACAATGGCCACAGCAGCTGATGCTGATACTTCTGAGAAAACGAATGGAATGCTAAACTGTACTATACTTTTGGCACCTTAGAGACTAACCAATTTATTTGAGCATAAGCTTTCGTGAGCTACAGCTCACTTCATTGGATGCATACTGTGGAAAATACAGAAGAACTAACCAATTTATTTGAGCATAAGCTTTCGTGAGCCACAGCTCACTTCATTGGATGCATACTGTGGAAAATACAGTATGAGTGTATGTGGGACATGCACTCAGTGGTGAGGCTGACGCAGCTCAAGGACTGGGCCTGCCCCAGAAACACCACAGAGCCCTGCCCCTGTATGCCAGGTGCACCAAATGTGGGCAGACAGGCTCAGCAAGGCAGGATCCAAGTGTGGAGGGGCTTAGTGTGGGTGGGAATCCAGTGTGGGTTGAGAGGGTTCTGTGTGGGGCAATCTGGGAGTGGGGCGGTTCTGGGGGAATCTGGGTGCTGGAGGGATCTGGATGCACAGGGGCTTGTTGTGGGGGTTCTGGTGCAATGGTAATGGGACTCTGCAGGGGAGGTTCCACGTGAAAGTGGTTGGGGCTCAGCAGGTGGGGTCTGAGTGTGGAGGAGATAGAGCTCAGTGAGGGGGGCTGGGTGTGGGGGACTCAGTGGGGTTGGGATCCAGGTGCAGCTGGCTGGGGTTTGGGGTGGGAATCCGGGTGTGGGTGGCTTGTTGGGGTTGTGCAGGGGGAGTGGGGCTCATTGGGGGGGGTCTGGGTGCAGGGGGTGGGACTCAGCAGGAGGGTCTGGGTATGAGGGGTGTCAGGCTTCCCTCCCCACTCTGAACTCTGGGGTACAGATGTGGGGACCCGCATGAAAGATCCCCTAAATTTATTTCTGCCAGCTTAGATTAAAACTTCCCCAAGGCACAAATCCTTTCCTGTCCTTGGATTAGTACTGCTGCCACCACCAAGTGAGTTAGACAAAGATTCAGGAAAAGGACCACTTGGAGTTCCTGTTTCCCCAAAATATTCCCCCAAGTCCCTTCACCCCCTTTCCTGGGGAGGCTTGAGAATAATCTACCAACCAGATAGGTAAACAAGGTGAGCACAGACCAGACCCTTGGGCTTTTAGTTTACTAAAAACCAATCAGATTCTTAAAAAACAGAACTTTATTATAAAGAAAAAACAAGGTAAAAGAAGCACCTCTGTAAAATCAGGATGGAAGGTAATTTTACAGGGTAATAAGATTTAAAACACAGAGGATTCCCTTCTAGGCAAAACTTCAAAGTTACAAAAACCAGGGATAAACCTCCCTCTTATCACAGGGAAAATTCACAAGCTAAAACAAAAGATAAACTAACGCATTCTCTTGCTATACTTACAATTTGTAATCTTAGAGGCTTATTTCAGGTATGGTTTTAGGAGAGGGTTTTTTTTTTTCCTGCCTGGTCCCTCTCTTTGTCCCGAGAGAACAACAAAGAAGCACACAACAAAAAGCCTCCCCCCACAGATTTGAAAGGATCTTCTCTTATTGGTTCTTTTGGTAAAATAGCTGGCTGTTCATGAAGGAGGAGGGAAGAAATAGTACTGAAATAACTTGAGATCTACTGGTGAAAAGCATTATATAAAAGCGAGGTATTATTGTAACTCTTTATTTTAAAGTAAATTGATACAGATTTTTGTTGCCCTTTAGACTATTGATTATGGTGTCTCATCCCTTTCCCCCAGCTGTCATCCTCTTTCCCGGCTTCTTGACTCTTTCTAGCTCAGATTCTCCATGAAATAGGCTGAGCTAAAAACAGGGTGTGCTGGTTGTTTAAAATAATTGTGCCTTTTCAATGCACCCAACTTGAGCCACATTCTTGCAGCTGGCACCACTAGGGAGGACTCGTGAGCCTGAACCAGAGACCCATTGACTTCAGTAGGGTTCCACCCAGGCCCCACAGGATTAGGAGTGTGTAGTCATCTTTCGTATGCTGTTGGAGAAAGGTGTTCCATCTTCAGTTTTTTGAGATGTGTTAATCATTTGTTGTATTGTGCTGGAAGGCTTGAATTTGTGTGCCTCAAGGAAATATTAATCTATCACTTCCAGTTGTTTCAAAGCCTTTATTTTAAAATCCTATTTAGATGTGAAGAAGTGAGATGGTCACTCGATTGTAGACCTAAAAGTCGCAATTCTTCAACAAAAAAACTTCAAATACAGACTCCAACAAGAGACTGCTGAATTGGAATTAATTTGCAAACTGGACACCATTAAATTAGGCTTGACTAAAGACTGGGAGTGGATGTGTCATTACACAAAGTAAAACCATTTCTCCGTGTTTGTTTCGCTTCCCTACTGTTCCTCACACGATCTTGACAACTGCTGGAAATGGCCCACCTTGATTATCACTACAAAAGGTCCCCCCGCCCCCGCTGGTAATAGCTCACCTTATCTCATCACTCTCGTTACAGTGTGTATGGTAACACCCATTGTTTCATGTTCTTGGTGTACTCTGAAATCTGTGTATATAAAATCTGCCCACTGTGTTTTCCACTGCATGCATCCGATGAAGTGAGCTGTAGCTCACGAAAGCTTATGCTCAAATAAATTTGTTAGTCTCTAAGGTGCCACAAGTACTTTTTTTCTCTTTACATTTTGTTGGTTATCAACAGTAATCAAGGTTCTGCAGGCCAAATTAGGTCCCCAGTGACATCTTATTGTCTTCTAATTATGACCTTGATAACACCTGTGCAAACCTGTTACCTTCATTAGGTTCACATGGGGTATATCTATACTGCAATAAGACATCTGTGGCTGGCCAATGCTGGCTGTGGGGCTGTTTAATTTCTGTGTAGATGTTCGGGCTGTGACCCTCCTGCTTCACAGAGTCCTAGAGCCTGGGCTCCAATTTGAGCCTGAATGTCTACACCACCATTAAAAAGTCCCTTAGCCTGAGCGTCCCCTCCACCCCATACATACTCATAGGCATAATTGCACGGATTTAATCAATGAATCTGCTAATGTGCAAAAAGGAATACATTCTAGCTCACTTTCTTAACAGTATCGGCTCAGCATAACAAGCAAAAAATGTGAAATTTAGCTTTCGGGCCACATTTACAAAGGTGGGAGATTAAAGATTCTGATAGATGCCTGCTGGGGTTTTCAAAAGTACACTCACCTACGTGCATCTTTAGTCACCTAAATATACCTTTGTAAATCTGGCCCTTTGTCACTAAAACAAGCTGTGTCTCTGGATGCATGCATGGAGCAAATCTGCTGAGGGGAAGGTGTTACTTTTCCATAGTCAGTTTTCAGAGATGAATAGCAAAGGACTGAGGAGAAAATGACTTTTTGCTATTTCATACTTTTAAGTGTCAAGAAGGCCTGAAAAGTGGGTGTGGTTTTTATTTGTAAGTAAAAATATTATTTCTGCTTATGTTAGTCTTGGAGATATCAGGAATGTCAAATCCGGACATGCTTGGCTTTACTGGAGGGCTATTTGTCAGTTTTGGAGGATGTGTATTGTGAGATTTTGCACCTCAGTTGAAGGGGTGAGGCGCTGAAACTTTCACAAAGATGTATATTTTTTCCAAAATGTTGATTACTCACTGGAATTAAATGGATATTAACAAATAAATTAAGAGTTTTGAGCAGTCTAAAAATTCCTTTTTCTCTCACTTGCTCAGCTTTAAGTTTCTTGACTCTCATGACATATTTTAATTCAGTCTCCCATTGCTATCAAGTCTCCTGGATAGACAAGACCAAGGACAAGTGTTAAAGAAAATTGCAGGGAGGGAATGATACTGAATGCGATGGACCTGAAGGGAAACACTGAGCAGTAAAGGAGAGGAGGGGGAAATGAGATGAAAGGGAGAGCGAAACCAAGCAAATGGAATTGCTAAGGAAAGAGAAAAGAAATACGCAGCTTTGCCAACTCTTGCAGTTGTATTATGGGTCTTGTGATATACAGTGTTTTTCATACAGCCCCAGTTTTGTGGTTGTGTGAATCTCAGCTTTCATTTAAAAAAGTAAGTTTCCACAGCCCTTGTGGTTATGAAAAAAAGCTTGAAAATACAATCCCTAAAGGCTCAAAACCCATAAGGCAAATAAAAAGGGCTCACCATTT